CTACTAAAAGACAGCTGGTTGATAATATTCAACAGTGACACGTTGATGCACTTTGTTATATATACTTCTTTTGTTCTACTATTTATAAGGTACAAAGAGTGTTTTCTCTTCTGTCCATAATTCTCTGGAAAAACAAAAATTCTTTTTATAATTCATATTATTAATTTTTTTCACCGGAATGTGGAATCATATCATTCATTTATTATTCATGGAAACAGGCCATTAAAGCATACTTCTTATAATTCCTATTATAAATCACTTCTAACTAATTCACATGAACCAAGAAAATGATAGTTAATTCATTAAATTTAAAGTGATTTTCAAAATTACCCTTATCAACTACTCTAAACTTCAACATCATAGTATCAATTTCTACTCTCTCTTATTACCTTATTAAATAAATATGAGCATAGATAGAAAAAATATAGAACACTCCTTAAAACTATCAGATGCCTTATAAAAAGGATAAAAAAAATATCAGGTTAAGATGCATCTAGCACAGTGAAATATTTTCTCATGTACATCTAGCATCCTTAAGTATTTTATGATGCATTCAGTATCCTGAAATATTTTTTTAAATGCATTTTGCATCTAAAGTATTTTTTTTGGTGCATCTAGCACATTGAAGTATTTTTTTAAATACATCCGACACTCAAAAATATTTTTTGGTGCACCCAACACCAAGGCAAAAAAAAAAAAACTTTGAGATGATAGATGCACCTAAAAAATATTTTGAAATACTAGATGCACCAGAAAATACTTCAAGATACTGGAGGCACTAAAGAAAATACTTTGGAGTATTGAATACCCCTTAACCCTTGAATATCTTCTAAAAAGACAAGAGGAATAGAATATATTAAATAGGGGTAAAGTTAAAAAATTATTAAAGTTTGAAACAAATAAAGTTAATGATGTTTAGTACTTTTCTTAATTTTCCTGTTCAACAGTTGAAAGTATCCCATAAATAATTAGATAGAAGACAGAGAAGCATACTGATAATGTGGTGTTATATATTTGTTGTGAATATTAAGTATCAAAATATATCTTTCCAACTATTTAAAAGGGGAAAATAACTCAAAAGCACAATCAATTGCAAACTGTATTAGCAAAATCTCATTATATCACAAAGTAGTAACTCACAAATGAATATTTAATTTGTTTTGAAATTTGAAGGGACATGATTACACATCTGGGGTGTGGCAATTTGAAGGGTATGGATACGTGCCAAGTGGAACAAGTGGGGTATCCATAATGCAAGTGTTTGGAGCAAGGCCTCCTTCTGCCTCAACCCTTCAGCTTAGGGTTTATGATTCTTCTCTCACATATTACAGATCCTCTGTCCTCCTTCACAACAACAGATGGTTCTGACTCAACGTCATTCATGACGCCGACGCCTCCATTGTTAAGGTTTACATCGACGGAGTTCTCAAGTTCGAAGGATCTGGTCGGCCACACGCCTCTCATTACTTCAAGTTTGGAATTTATACACAGAATAATCCTTCCCATTGCATGGAATCTCGTTGGAAGGATATCAAACTTTTCAGAAAGTAGTTCTCTTTTGTCTAATGCCACCCACGGCAAGCTATCTGAGACAGGCCTTACTAGATTCATAAGCTCTCATTATTAGTTATGACCTTAACTATAATTTTTGGGATCTTGTGGTGATCTTTCTTGTCGTAATTTTTATAACAGCTTGTGTGAAAGTAATGTATATTTATATATCGTTGTTATAATTTAATATTTCGGTGAAGTTTTATATAATATATCATTAATTATTTACCGGCGATGAGCCGATGAACTTCTCTTTATCGAAGTATATCCATTAGAATTTGATCTTACATTATCCTCAAAACGAAGATGACACCCATTACAAGACACAAACCATAACATAAACATATTTTTCTCATAATAATATAATTTCCGAAGGTAGTTAGCTTGTCTCAATTCTTAACGTCACTTTAACTACTCTGCTCTTTCAGCCTAGAATATTCTCAATTATGCTGCTGCTTCTGGCCTTCAACACATTATATAAATACAAGCAGATTTAGGCTAGCTATCCCATAATTCTCACCACTTCGTAAATATCTGGCTGCTTTTTTTAAACATGGGAGGATCTGTTTATCAGAGCAGTGCTGTGTTGATTTTGCTTCTTTGTTGTTATTTATTCGTAAGTGTTACAACCTCCCATCTTTTAGACCTAACCCTAGGTTTCACTGAACTCCCTTCTTAACACTTCCAATTTCAAACTTCATACGCCTTATGACTTACCCGTTAGCTCAAGGTACAGCTTCCAAGATGGAGTGCACAGGCTTTGGGTGTACTCCACTGACAAACCTTTCATCAAGAAAAGCCGTGGTTCTCGATCTGAAATCCGAATCCAAGTAAGCCTCCTATACATATAATTCCATTTCTATATACTTCTGCCAGTTCTTAATATAGAAGTTAGTTGAAGGGTTGAATTGATGCTAAATATAAAACATCAGTCTATAATACAAATTAGTTATGTAACTCTTGTATTAAGAATCGAAAAGAGTATCATTTTGTTTGCGAATGTAGTGTTTAATGAAATTTTTTTAGGGTTATGATTATTCTTCAGGAGTGTGGCAATTTGAAGGCCAGGGATACGTACCTAGAGGTACTTCAGGAGTGTGCATTATGCAACTTTTCGGAGCGGATCCTCCACGAGCGACGACTTTGATGATTAGGACTTACAATGGCTCACTTACATATTACAGGAGGCCAGTTCTGGTTCCATATGTATGGGAAAGATGGTTTCAGTTAAATGTGATCCATGATGTGGAAGCTTCCATTGTGAGGGTTTATATAGATAGGCTTCTAGTTTATGAAGCTCCTGGACATGGAGGTCACTCCCATTACTTCAAATTTGGAGTTTATAAACAGAATGATTCTTCTTACTACATGGAGTCTCGTTGGAAAGGAATTAGAGTCCTCCGTAAGCCTCACAATTATTGATGATTTTGGGACATTTAGCTCCATGGATGTCACTTTTTTTTAATTATGAGTGAAATAAATATGAGAAAATATTATTTTTATTGTGGCAATGACTGTTCTGTTCCTTCGGCGACGTTGGATATATATTAATTTTGAAAGTAATGATTGGATTTAACGGATATATAAAAAGATAGGTTTATTGGAGTTAAAAAAAAAAGGAGCCAAAGTAACAAAGATTGATCCAATTCCTCATATCCTAAACGAGTGAGTTCAACTGTTATAGTGGGTGCAAAGATTCCAACGAGAAAAATTTGTAAGTATTTCCGCAATTTTCAAAGTAATAAGGGTTGATAAATGCCCTAATATTGATGTGGCTTTGTATTTCAATTAATTTAAATTTAACCCCAAAAAATATTCCAGAAAAGATTAATCACGGAAAAGATAAAATGTTGAAGGGTCTCGATGTTTGAATGTTGAAACCAACGGGTAAAACTTTTGTTCTTCAATTCCTTCTCCCTACAATAAGATTTTTGCTGATAATGAATCATTTTCAAGTTGAATCAAACAACAAATCAAACTTCTACATTCAAATATTCCAACATCTTTTAAGAAAAAAAAGTGATATAATTTTACATATATATACACAAAAGATTATCCTCATCTTTATTTTTATTATTTATTTCTTATTCATTTCGTTGCGATTATAATATGTGCATTTTTTTTGGTAGAAACATTATTGTTTTCTGTGTATATTGAAGATGAATGCCTTACTCCAAAGACTAAAGTAGTCCTTGTAAATTTTATTAGTCGAATTGTCATTCTCAAATCGAGAGAGAGAGAGAGAGAGAGAGAGTGTGTGTAATGTGGCATATCAAAGTATTTTTCATTTGTTTCAATATTCTGTTTATGAAATGGCTTTTCAAGTGCTGATATGACATCCTCGCTTAAAATAATTAATTCGGACAAGAAAGAATTCTTTAGCCTTTACAATTAAAAAAGTAGCTAGTGCGCAGGCCGTGCTATATAGATTAAGCTCTCATTAGTTATGACCATATATAATTGGGACCTTGTGATGTTTCTTGTCTTAATATGCATACAACTTTTGAAAGTAATAATATTTATTTTATATCATCGTAATTTTTCTAAAACATTATTTCTCATGAAGTTTTAATGTTGGGTTGAGATACATCTAGTACTTTGGAGTATTTTTCCAAATATGTCTGGTATTATAAAGTATTTTGTAATTCATCCCATATCATTTAGGTGTGTTCAGCACCTCAAACTATTTTGTGATACAATCTTACCTTTGAAGCATTAATATTTTCTACAAGCAATTTTGCCCTTAACTTTTTCTTTCGGAAGCAATTTTAACCTTGCCATTAACCCTTCAAAAAGTCTATTAAATGAATGTGCATCAAATACTCTAAAGTATTTTTTTTTCTATTTTATGATATTGAATACACTTAAAAAAATATTGAATACATTATAAAATATTTTAAAGTACTGGATGTATATGAAAAAAATATTTTAAGGTGCTCGATAAACACTACAAATTAAATACTTCTGGTTGCTAGAAGCTGAGAAAACAGTAGATGAAACTTAATCTTTAATGTTTATTCAATCATTATTAACCGGCAATGAATAATTTTGTATGCCGCAGACCCAGCACTGCCCTTGACCATTTCCTTATGAAAGCGTCCTTCTCCGTTTTTGAACGATAACTCCGATAGAAAAATTGTCTCATGGGTTGGTCTCATCTGACTTATTAGCATTCCATTTTCAAATGACCCTCCAACTACGTACTTTCTGGTGACCGGCCCTTAAACATCCTCATGAGTTCGTATATTTTTATTATTATTTTCAATTATTTGTTGGTGCCCAAAAGGCCAAAAAAAAAAAAACACAAGATCTCAAAACACCTACATCCTATAATAGTACATTATTCTCAATTATGATTGTGCTTGTCAGCCTTCTCGACAACAAATGTAAATACACCCAGATTCGGGTTAATCATCTCATTACCTCCATATCTGGACCCTTACTTCAACATGGGATCTGTGCATCAGATTACTTTGTTGAGCTTACAGGTTTGTTTTTGTTCATTCCTTAGTGTGAGAAGCCAATTTCATGAGGACCTAACCCTAGGTTTCACTGAACTCCCACTAAACGCCTCCAATTTCAAACACCACAACCCTTATAACTTACCCGTAAGCTCAAGATACAGCTTCCATGGCGGAGTACACAAATTTTGGGTATACTCTACTGACAAACCTCTTAGCAAAAGTAGCCCTACGAAGCCTCGATCAGAAATTAAAATTCAGGTAAGCCTACTATATAATATAATCACTTTTGCACCACTCTCTTTTCGACTATATCTGATTATGAAGAATCCAAAATGTGATGTTTTGCATGCTATCTGTTTTTTAGGGTTATGATTATTCTTCAGGAGTTTGGCAGTTTGAAGGACATGGATACGCACCTAGTGGTACTTCAGGGGTTTGCATTATGCAACTTTTTGGTGCAGATTCTCCACACGCAACCACTTTGATGATTAGGACTTATAATGATTCGCTTACGTATTACAGAAGGCCAGTTCTGGTTCCATATATATGGGACAGATGGTTCCAGTTAAATGTGATTCACGATGTGGAAGCTTCCATTGTGAGGGTTTATATAGATAGGCTTCTGGTTTATGAAGCTCCTGGGCGTGGAGGTCACTCCCATTACTTCAAATTTGGAGTCTACACACAAAACGATCCTTCTTACTACATGGAGTCTCGTTGGAAGGGAATTAGAGTTCTTCATAAAATTCACTACTAATGATATAGCCATTGTAGCTGGGTTATTTTTGTGCTTGTTTAATTTGTATGATTGTATCGTCCATGAGGAGACGTCAGATATATTAAATTCTGAGAAGTAATGATTATATTGATTAGAGAGGTGAGCTTTAGGATTTAGTTCGATGTGTATTTTGTTATCAGAGTTCAGGATTTGGATTGAATCGAAGTTGATCCCATATTTGGTTAATACTACCCCTGATCTTTAATAAAAAAGCTAATTGACTAATTTGTATAGATTAAAAAAGTTAATTAAGTTATTTATAATAAATAGGTATTGTTTTCTCTAAAATACCCTTTAATGAAATATTTAACATGTATAATTATTATAAGAATTACTTTGAAAAAAAAAGGATAAATATAAGAGACAAAGTAAATTGAGGTCTTATACTCAGAACCAAATTGAATATTAAATTAGCTCTTATATTAAAGATCGGAGGTAGTATATGACTTGTAATCTTTAAGAGTTTGTGTTTGAATTTTATTATCTATATAAGATGTCTTATTGATGGGTAATTAGTCCTTAGAAGCGCCAAGCAGGGTAGTTAGCTGTGCTAGGTTAAGCTCTTATTAATCATTAGTCAAGCCTCATACTACTTTTGATATTTAATATAAAAACTAGTTGACTAATTTAAATAGATTAAGAAGGTTTGTTGAATTAGTTATTTATAATAAATAAGTTTTTTCTTTCATAGAATATCCTTGCTAATCATGTATATTAGCTAGAACTGTTATTTGATAGAACATTTAACATGTACAATTACTATAATAACTACTTTAAAAAAATAAATAAATATAAGAGATAAAAGTATATTGGAATCTTATATTTAAAACCAAATTGAATGTCAAACTAACTTTTATATTAAGGACAGGAGATAGTATATTTATTTTACCTTTGGTATCTTGTGATATTTTGTGTGAGCGAGGGTGTGTGTATAAAGCTTGTGAAGATAATACTACTCCAGTCTTAAATATAAGATCCATTTTGTAATATAATTTACATTACAAAATGAGTCTTATATTTAGGACCGGAAGAGTATTATTTATTATATAGCCATCACTGTGTATCTGTTGGGTTGTGGGTGTTTGTTTTAATATTTTGGTGAACTTCAATAATCATTACCAACAGAATTTGACCCAGAAGAACTGGAGGCGAACTTCACACATTAAATAAAGTGATTAACTCATTAAATCCAATGTAAAGTGTAAACCAAGTTTTTCCCGAAAGCTAGGAACAAAGTGTCAGAGTAATACTTTAAGAAGAATTTTTTTCCAAGACTGGATTGCACATTGAAGGTCATTATTATTAACATGATAAGTATTTTTCAGAGACGAACTTGAGACATTGGAAGCACAGTTGATAAATTGGGTAGAGAGACTAACACGTTAAGGAATGCTTCCACAAAACTGGACTTTGACAGTGAGACTCATTAACACGTTAAGCACAGAGATTAACGTGTTACGAATTTTTCAATGTATTAAATTAGTCGACGACATAATGATGAATTAACGAGTTAAATAGGAATTTAGAAATGTGAAACAAGTTTTAACAAAGTCGCTTAACGTGTTAAATGCTGTAGTTAAGTGTAAGAATTGACACGTTAATTGGAAGAACAAGAGCGGCGGAAACACAATTAACACGTTAGGCAATGAAATGTTAATGCGTGAAGTAGGATTGTAATGTTAAAAACACTTTTCAATATAAAAATTAGATAACTAATTTATGAATATTAAGAAAGTTAGTTAAGTTAATTATTTCTAATAAATGAGTGTTGTCTTCCTTAATAAAATAATCTTATTAATCATATGCATTAAAATGAAAATTAATCATCATGAGAACTATTTTGAAAACAAAGAATAAATATGAGAGATAAAGTTGATTGAGGTATTATATTTAAGACCAAAATAAATCTCTAACTAATTCTTATGCTTAAGATAGAAGGCAGTATTTACCAAAGTGTATTAACTTCATTAAAATCATTTGTAAAACTAGTTTTCATACACAAATAAAAATCTCCTAATTAAGACTCATTTGCAAGAGACACTATGACTTAAAAGATAAAAACTGTAAAATTTCCAAGACTTTTAATTTCTTGCATACCTGTAATCTTATTCGTAGGTAATTATTCCTTGAACTAGCAGCTGGCTAGCTGTACTAGGATTCCCTTTTTTTTTTTGGCTAGCTGTACTAGGATAAGCTCTCAGCCATTAGTCAAATGACCTTATACTCAATTTACTTTTTGTGATATGTCGTTTGTGTGTGTATATATATAACTGCTTTTGAAGATAATATTATTTATATAGCAATCATTGTCTCTCTGATCTGTTTTTTTCTTTAAAATATTTTGGTGAAGTTTTATTCAATCATTACCAACCACAATGAACTTTAATTCTATCCGATACGCAAGACCACCTTTGACGTTTTCTTTCTGAAAGCATCCATTAGAATATGTTGAAACTGAATATGGAAAAATGACTTGAATTCTTATTGATCAAATGAGGTGTGGACACACACACACGAGTCTGGAAAGCTTTACATAACATAATATAATCACTTTATACGACAATATAATTTATATAACAAAATGGCTATGTTATATATACTTGACACTCCCACAGGCTTGAGCAAGTATGTTTTTCATGCCAAGCTTGGAAATGGGATCATGAAAGCGTGTAGGATGGGGTGATCTGGTGAATACTTTAGCCAATTGGTCTCCTGACTTGACAGGAAGAAGGTGTATGGTTTTAGTTACTAACTGACAGTTAAGCTCAATATATGCCTGGTCCTTTCATGAAATGTTGGATTTGTTGTGATCTGGGTAGCAGATTGATTGTCACGAGATAGAGGAGCTGCAGCCAAATGTGAGACATCAAAATCAATCAAGAGATAAAGCAACCACTGAATTTCACAAGTTGTCAAAGCCAGAGCACGGTACTTTGCTTCAGATGAAGACTGAGATACTGTTGTCTGCTTTTTGGCCTTCCACTAAATAAGAGAATATAATAACTTTATAGAACAATATAATTTATCTAACAGAATGGCTATGTTATACTTGACATCCGTCTTTACATAAGTTATTTTAAAAAGAAAATTAATATTTAATTTTCATGTTTATTATTTTTCCTTTTTTATTTATTTTTTGAATATATTACATGCATTTATTTTTTATGCATATTTAACATAACTACCTTACAAATTTTGGTATCCGAATTGACATTAATTAATTAAAAGGCCATTTGGTTGCTGAAAAGAATGAATGAAATTGAAATGGATTAAAATAATAAAAGTAAAAATAAAAATTTTATTTTAACATAATGAGTCCGTTGCATATTCATCTTAAATTTTGATATCCTTGAATTTAGAGAGAGACTAATATCTTTAGAAAATAGTCCCTGCACAGAGAAATTAAAGTTGATTGGGATCTCTTGGAAGGATACACGTCGAGGTTTTGATCTTGTGACTTACGCATGGCAGGCTGTAGTAGGTCATAATAAGCTTTCATTAGTTTTGACCTTATATTTAGAGCTTTGTGATCTTCTTGTCTTCACATGCACAAATGCTTGCGGAAGTGGTACTAATTTTTTTTTTAAAGAACTTTTTTTGGTGAAGTTTTAATGTTTTCTCAAATCGTTATCTGGCGATCAATTTTCAACGTATAACGCGAGGCACCACCCTTGACCTTTTCTTGTTTCTAAAAAATTATTATTATTATTATTATTATTACTATTATTACTACTACTCTTACTATATGTTTGTTTGTTAATACCCTTGGCCTTTTCTTTATGAACGCATCTATTAGAACTTTATCTTACATCTTAATTATAAACGAAGGTGACATATATAGCGGAAACATCTTTTATTTTATGAGTAAAATACTCTTACTACTCTTCTAGTTTGCATCAATTATACAAACCTTCTTTTTATTTTATAAATATACAGTTTAATTCAATAAGTTAACATCGTTAAGAAGATTCTAATGACATTATTTTTAACTGAAATTTGTATTAAAATAAATTTTTATTTTTAAATGATAACTTCCATAAGAAACTCGTATTTTAGTTGGTGACTTGGTGTCATCCTATGTAGCATTTCTAAGTGTATTTATTAAGAAATAAGAGATATTTGTTTGAGAGTTAAATTTGGTCCTAAATATAAAACTTCAATTTATCTAGTTTCTCATGTTTATCATTTTTTACTAAAATAATTTGCCCAACTTATAATCTAATGTTACATAAATGTATTTTTCTAAGGAGATGTCACATTATATTTGTTATATGATTAATTAATTTATTTGACCTTTTCAATCTACCAAAATTTACTACGTATCTGTAACGAAGGAAGTTTTCTCAATTATGATTATGCTTCTAAACCTTCAACAGCAAATATAAATACACGCAGATTCAGGTCATCTCATTACCCCATATCTTGGCCCTTAGTTCAACATGGGATCTATCCATCAGATTAATGTTTTGAGCTTACTGGTCTGATTTTGTTCATTGCTTAGTGTGAGAAGCCAATCCCACGGGGACCTAACCCTAGGTTTCCCTGAACTCCCACTAAACACCTCCAATTTCAGACACCACAAGCCTTATAAGTTATAACTTACCCGTAAGCTCGAGGTACAGCTTCCATGGCGGAGTACACAAATTTTGGGTATATTCTACTGACAAACCTCTCAGCAAAAATAGCCCCACCAACCCTCGATCTGAAATTCGAATCCACGTAAGCCTCTTGTGTGTATGTGTGTGTCATTGTGCTTGTGTTTTGTGTGAAAAATTAAAGAATTTAATGTGACGTCTCGTGTTCTCTTTTTCAGGGTTATGATTATTCTTCACGGGTGTGGCAATTTGAAGGGCATGGATACGTACCTAGTGGTACTTCAGGGTTTTGCATTATGCAAGTGTTCGGGGCACATCGTAAACGTGCGACGACTTTGATGATTTTAACGTTTGATGGTTCTCTTACTTATTATAGGAGGCCTG